AGGCAATGGCAGGCGGGGGCTGCAGTGCAGGCTCTGGGGGGGTTATTTTTAGCCCTGGCAGTTTTTAGCCACCTCAGCTGGGCGGTCCCAAAGCCCTTGTGGGGGGGGGCAGCACCCCAGGCACAGGGACATACCTGCAGCAAGAAGCCTGCCAGAGCCCAGGGCTTGCTGCAGCCCCCCCAGACCCCTCCCCATCCCAGCCCTCTGCACAGATGGGGCAGCCACACACTTTCTCTTCAGCTCCGGGTTTAATCCTTTTGGCTACAAAACGCTGAAACAAAGAAAATAAAAACCCCAACATCTCAGAAAAGAAACAAATGGTGGGATGGGGACCTTCCTCCCCAGGGCCAGGAGGAGGCCTAGCCCAGAGGGAAGCCCAGGGAGGCCTCAACGATGGCTGAAGAACCCCTGGGGGTAGTTGAACTTGAAGGGTTTCAGGCGCATGGGTCCCCTGGAAGAGAAGAGGAGAGTCTGACCCCCAGGGGTCCCCCCCAAAAGTGCCTGGTCCCAGAGTTCTGCCCCCACTGCAGGGGGCAGATCCCCACAGGCAGCTAAAGGGGAGGCTTCCAAGCTGGCAGCAGGGGACAGCAGTGCCATCAGGATCCCTGTCATCACCCTCAGCCCCCACGGGGTGCTGGGCTCCCACCTGACCAAGCGCAGACACATCTTCTCCTGGGGAAACTCCTTGGGCCCCTCCACGCTGGTGTCGTGGGGCTCAGTCTCCAGGTAGACATCCAGCACCATGCAGAGGCGCTGCAGCTGGTTGGTGAGCAGCTGGTAGCCTGGTTTGGGTCCCCACAGCTCCTTGTAGTTGACATTGACCTCACTCTCCATGGCCTGGCAGAGGGATTGGGACAAGGTGGGATTGGGACAAGGTGAGATTGGGGCTCTGTCCTCCTAGAACCCACAGCTGCAGGTCTTGGGAAGGCTTGCCTGGGCCACAAGCTCATCCCAGCAGCTCATTGATTATGGACAAGGGACCATTGGGAACCCTCCCCAGATGCCAGTGGGTCTCCAGCCTCTTCTCCCCAACCCTCATTACCCGAATGTTGTCATCGTTGCTGCTGTTTCGTTCTCCTTTCCAGTTCAGGCAGAGGCTGAAGACGGGTGGCAGTGTGGAGTACCCAGGGTTCACCACCACAGCAGCCTGCAGCTTGGCTGAGCAGGGGACAAACATCACCCACAGCCCCTGGGGCCTCCACCCGGGGCGGGATTTCCCCTCCAGACCCCCCAGAGCTGCCCTGGGGAGTGGCCTTGTGTGGGGATCAGCAGCTGCCAGGGGAAGGCAGCCAACCCACCTGTGCCCCTTTCGATCAGGGCCATGTAGTAAAGGTGAGTGTCCTCAGCCAAGCCTGCCTCTATCACATCTTTGGTGTAGGGCAGCTCCTGTGAGGAGAGAGGAGGAGTGAGGATTGAGGAGCTGGAGGAGCTGGGGAGGAGCTGGAAAGGATCTGGAACCACACTGGGTACCCACCGCGTAGTCCTCGTAGGGAATGGCAGCCCACTTGACCAGGCGGGACACCACCTTGGCAGGGAAGAGGTGCTGGCACTCACTGGAGACTGGCACAACACCATGCTCTGAAACCAAGGACAAGGCCACCTGAGCTGGGGTGGTAGGGGGCTGGGGACAAAGCTCTGTCACCATCCTGGGGGTGGAGACGCTCCAAAAGCAGGACCTGGGGACATTGTGATCCTGCTGACACCTTCCCTGGGTGCCCAGAGGTGGGAGCCTTGGCTGCCATCCTGCTGGAGCTCACAGCCCTGGCAGGGTGTGGTTCACCTCCCACCACAGCCTGAATCGACTCCCAGTGCAGGGATGACTGGTCCCAAAGGGATGCTGGGTGTGGAGAGGGGGGCACAGCCTCCCTCTCCCCCCAAAAACAGGTCAGCCCCGCCATCACCGAGGACTGGGATCACCGAAGGTGGCACTGCAGAGCTGCAGCACCATTGGAGGTGACACCAGTCAGCAAGGAGACCCTGTGAACTTGTCCCCTTGTCCCCAGGCTGGGGTGGGGAGCCTGGCACTCACCCAGGGAGGCAAACTGCTTGTGCAGAGCCAGGCGGGACTGCAGGCGGGAGCGCAGCAGCTTCACCGTCAGCTCCATGTGGCTGGCACTCAGGGAGTTGTTTGCTGTCACTGTGTGCTGTGGGGCAGGAGGGACTGTCACCACCAGGCCCCCACTGGGGACACCCCCTCCCAACTCAAGGAGCCACCCCAGCCAGCCCCAGGGAAGAGGCAGAAACTCGAGCTGCTGCTCAGTGGGTGTGACAGGGAGATAAAACATGTTGTCGCACCCCCCAAGGGTGCCAGCTGGGGGGACAGGACACAACAACTGTCCCTCCCCCCCAAAAAAAAAGCTCTCCAAGCCCCAGCTCGAGGTTTGAAGGGAGAGGGCAAGGGCTGCAACGTGCCTGAGGCTGGTCCTTGGGGAAATGCAGGCCACCCAGCTTCTGCACCCACACGTAGGGGTGCCCCAGCTCTGTCACGTAGTCGCTCAAGGTCTGGATGCTGTGGGGACAAGCAGGAAGGGTGACACCACCCCTAGAGCATTCCCCCCTCCCCATGCCCCCTGTGAGCAGCTTCTTGGCCACCAAGCTCTTCTGGCCAAGCTGGGGAGGGACACACTATGTCACACAGACACTTGGGTGCCTCACTCACCCCACTTTATCAAACTGGAACTGGTTGGCAGGGTTGGGAGTTCTCCTGCCATGGTCTCCTGGATAGAGGCAGTTGAGGAGGGAGTCTGGGGAGAGCAGGTCGCTGGCAGGAGGAGGGAAAAGATTCATCAGGAGCAGTCCAGGATCCACACCTCCCTAGGGAATGGGGCCACTAACAGGCTCCAAGCCCCAAGAAGGAGATTACAAACTCCAGCAGTTGGGTTTCTCCTAAATTCCATGCGAAAAGGAAAGCTGTCTCCTCCCTGGCTGAGAAGAAGACAAATCATATGGCACCAGCTTCCCAGGAAACCTCAGTGCATTAACTCCCAAACCTGCTGATGTGCATGGAGGAAACATGGCCAGCACAGGCAGGGCAGGGCCCCAGGGCTGTTTGCCACCCAACAAGCTGAAGCAGAGCAACTCTGCTCCATGAACTGAAGTTCTCCATGTCTGACCTTATTCATCAGCCCATAAAGGGCTGCAGGATTTGGGGTCTGGCTTGGGCCAGAGCCTCTCTGGTTTGGGACAACACAGCCAGGAACAACTGGGAAGGAGGGAACACCCTGTGGAGAGGCTCTACCTGCTGTCATGGAAGGTTTTGGGTACCTACAGGGAAGAGAGAACCCCAAGAGGAGCAGGAGGCCTCACACAGGATGGGCTGGGAGCTGCTTCCAGGGAGCCCAGACCAGCCTCTCCCACCTCCCTCTTTCTCAGACACCTCCTCCTGCTCCTGGGAGAGCCACCAAAGAGCTGGCAGCTGATGGGAGCTCCCTGGCAGGTCCATTTCAGCTGTTCCTCACACAAAGCAGCTCCAGCAGTCCCTGGGGAGCCCTGGGAGCAGCTCCAGAACTGGAGCCAAGGTGACCGCAGAGCCAGCAGGAGCTGCTGGGAGCAGCGAAAGCAGCTCAGCTGCTGGAGGGTGATGGAAGGAGACAAGCAGGAGAGGTTCTCCCCCAGCTCCTGACAGCTCTGGCACTGCTCCCCTAAAAGCTACCCAACCTCCTGGTCCCTCGCCAGGTGAGGGAGAGGAGGAGGATGCTGCCTGGCAGGGCTCTGGAGCTAAGGGAAAGGATCTAGCAGGGCAGGGGAAGAGGATCACCTTGGAATCTCACAAGTGGATCCCAGCTCCCCAGAGGCAGAGACTGGGATCTGCTCTGTGGGGTCTCCTCAGCCCACTGAAGGACAAGCCAAGACAGCACTTTGGAACTGCTGCTCAGCACTTGAACTGCTGTTCATGGTGCCCAGGCAAGGGACTGAGGTTAAAGCCTCCCCTGGCATGGCATGGAATGGCTCAGCAGAGGGACATTGCCACCACATGCCACCACTGGCACTGCATCACTGAACAGAGCACAGTGGGACACCAGGGCAGGACATCAGGGACAAGCAGAAGGGTCTCTGCCCTCTGAGTTCTGGGCTCAGCACTCCCAGGCTCTCCTTACCCAGCACTGATGGCAGTTGTCATCTCGACAGCAGTGGTCACCTTGGCTTTCACTGTCATGACATTGAGGTTCATCAGGTAGTAGAAGGTCAGGTGAAGCACGTTGTCATCTGTGCCAACAGAGAAGAGGCAACATTGCTGGTCTGCTCCAGCTTGCAGCACACTGCAGAGGGGTATGTGCCCCCCTGCAAGGGCAACAGCAAAGGGGGCTGAGAGGCAACGTGGGGAGTAACTGGCACTGAGACCCCCAGCAGCATCCCATTGGCATCTGCCAGGCTGTACCTGTCAGGCCCAAAATCCCACCACAAAAGAGAGAAGCTCTCAATTGAGGGAAGAAGCTTCAGACTTGGCCACCCCACCCACACGGCCAAGAGGAGCTCCAGGAGACTGAGTGACAAACCTCCTTATCCAGTCTCCCCTGGAAGGCAGGAAAACCTCTCCACGCCCTGAGCCCTCCCTGAGGATCCCAAGCTGCTGCTGTCACACCAAGGGCCACCAGACCCCTCTTACCCTTGCACTTGAGGTCGATGGTGACAGACAGGGGGTGCCTCTTGAGCATCTCCTTGCGCTTGTCGTCCAGCTGCACCCCCAGCGTGGGCCTGCGCCGCTTCTGGGGGGACACAGAGACATCAGCCCCTTCCCCTCCCACCCCCCAGCAACCCACCACCCCCACCCTGCTCTCCCACCAGGAATACACAACCTGTAGGACCTCAAGGCTGCCCTGAGGCAGTGCTGAACAGCCCCCAGCCCAGTGGCTGGTCCGACAACAGAGCCAGGACTGGGGAATTTTCTGCTCTCTAACTTTCCTTCTATTCTTCTCTCTTCTTTCCTAAATCACTTAGTAACACAAGGCCTAACCTAATTTTCTCAGCTCATGCAGCCTGAACATATGTTTTTGTGACTTCTGTCATCAAAATAATCAGCCTGAGAAGTCTCAGCTCCAATGAGTTATTCCTTCTCTACTTCTCATTCCAGCCACTGCTCCAACACAGGTCTGGAGTGTCTGGACAAGGGGCATGGGATGGTCCAGCACTTCCTTGAACAGTGAACACTTCAGTCACTCTCCCTGGGAGAACCAGGGCTGAAACTAAGATTGGATCCAGGCTCCTCTCTGAGATGAGTTTAGAAATCCAGGGGCTCCAGTCTGAATCTCCCTGGATTGCCTCATCCAGGTGGTGACACTGGGCAGAGCTGGGTGCCGGACACAGCTCCCTCCCTGGGTGCCAACCTCCCAGCCCCAGGCTATTTATACAAAGTGGAACAGCTCCAGCTGGAGCTGCAGGATGTCAGGTGGGACAGTGAGATGGGCAGGTTTGTACCCTGGTCCTGCTGCCTGTGGGACAGAAACTGGGAATGTCACCTCTCCCCTCCCAAGGAACAGCCAGATTCCCTGTCAGTGTAGCTCCACACACGCTCACTGTGCGTGGGGCTCAGCCCCACTCAGGCCCAGCTCCTCCAGCACCTCCCAGTTTGCCCACACAACGTGGCACTGGGGAAGGAAGCAGAGGGGACAGCACTATCCCTTACCGTGGTCTGCTCCTCCTCTGCGTCTGAGTCACTCTCGTCATCTGTGCAAGGAGAGGGGGTGAGCAGGGACCCTGGGGGGGGAGCAGGGACCCCAGGGGGGGAGCAGGGACCCCAGGGGGGGGGGACATCAGGGAGGGAGGGGACAGCAAGGGGTGTTGGGGACATTAGGGGCAGCAGGGACATTGGGGACACGGGGGACACCAGGACATCAGGGGGACATCAGGGGGCAGCAGGGAGGGAGGGGACACAAGGGACATGGGGGGACATCAAAGGTGTTGGGGACACTGGGGACATCAGGGGTGGAGGGGGGGTGCAGGGACCCCAGGGGGAGCAGGGACACTGGGGACAGCAGGGACCCCGGAGGGGGGAGCAAGGGACCCCGGGGGGAGGGAGCAGGGACCCAGGAGGGAGCAGCAGTCCCATACCCAGCAGGGCCACCCACCCTGCCACCAAGCCCCCAGACACTCCTGTCACCCCAAAAGCAGGGCCCTGGCAGGCTGCAGACACACAGGATCGTGTCCCCAGTGGCAGGGGTCGTGTCCACAGAGAAAGGGCTGTGAGCATCTCTCAGGAAGGACTTGGGGATGGAGGGGATCAGCTGCCAGGCATTCCCCCACCCACTTCTCCACCCTGCACCCTCCCAGCTCACCCTGTGAGTCCTCAGGTGGCTTGTACAGGGCTTTGGCTTCCTCCACACTCCCTTCAATGGCCACCACAAGCTTCTTATCTACAGAGGAGACACGAGATCTAAGTTATGAACCCCACTTCTGTTTGGAAAAGACCATTAGGAGCAGCCCTGCCATCCCACTCCATGGGGGCAGAGGTGGGAAAACACTGGGTTTGGAGGGAATGTCCCTGGAAACCATAAAGGCCAAATTGGATGGGGTTGGATTGGATTTCAAGGCCAGACTGGATGGGGCTTGGAGCAACCTGGGCTGGTGGGAGGTGTCCCTGCCCATGCAGGGGGTTGGGACTAGATGATCCAACCAAACCATTCTCATGGTTCTATGAGATATTTATCAAGAGCCAAAAAAAGGGCTGGGGTCAGACTGGCATGAGCAGGGAGCAAGGAACGGGGTCATCATGGCCACAGATGACCATTAGCAGGGACTTGCTGTGGCCCAGTGCCATGGCATGGTCTCTCCAGGCTCCTCTGCCACCTGCCCTGCTCCCTGCTCCAGGCTCCTGCTCTCTGCAGGAGATGGGCAGCCCCAGGGGATCCTGAGCCCTACTGAGAAATCCCTCCCAACCCAGAGAGGCTTCTGAAAGCCCCCCCAGAATGTAAAGTTGCCAAAGGGGATGAGGTGAGCTGTGGGGGTCTCTGGGAGGGCAGGCAGTACCCATGGGGGGGGCACACCCAAGCACCCACCCCACACAGCGACAGCTCTTGGGAAGCTGTGACAGCACCAAGCCACCTCACAGGCTGCAGGGACACCCCTGCTGACCTTGACAGGGGGGGGCAGAGGTGAGGAGGGAACTTTCTGAGCAGTTTTTCCAACGAGGGAGCTGAGCAAACAAGGTTTCAAGTGCTGCCACCTCATTGTGCCTGGCCCTGAGGCCACCCTGCTGCTCCGGGCTCAGCAGAATCCGACTGCAGAGCAGTCAGGACAAAAAGGACCTCCCAGACTGTCCCCACAGCCCTGCATTCTGCAAGCTGCAGTGAAATCCAGCCTGGGAGGGCAGGGAACATTGTCCCTCAGGCCCGGGGCTGGTGGCAGCACCTGAGGTGTCCCCAAGGGTTGTGCTCTCACCACAGGCCTGGCCGTAGGCGCTGGCTTGGACGAAGAGGACGTAGAGCGGTGGTGGGAGGTGCCGGGCTGTCTCATACTGCTTGTGGGCCTGGTCAAAAGGCATGAAGAGGTACTCCTGGACAGGCAGGGAGGCCTGGGGGAAGGAGAAAGGGAACCCTCATCACTGGGAACAGAACATTCCTCTTCCTCACCATCCTCCTTCATCCTGAGCTGGCAAGGGGGAAGCTGGAATCCAGCAGAGCAGCGGCGGTGCAGGGTTAAAGGGCAGCCAGGGAAGGGCTGGCAGCTCTCCTGTGCTGGAAAACTTCTGGATCTGAACATAACCCAGTTCCTTCTCCTGTTCTTCCTTCCCCAGGTGACAGCAAGGGGCTGGAACTGCATGAGGGCTCTCGAGGGAAAGGCCCATTTAATGACTCTTCCATCTGCAGTTCTGCAGGAATTGCCGCATAAACAAGGAGGCTCCGGAGGAGTCTTGGCACGAGGCAGATCCACCCCCCTCCTCCACGTTGGCTGGGAACAAAAGGTCTCCAAAGCAGGATCAGCCCAGGAATCACACCCCTCTTGGAGCCCCCAGGACCTTCTCCCCTGCAGAGCTCCAGTACCTGCATGATGCTGTTGAGTCGAGGCTGGAGGCTGCTCAGATATTCCTTCTTCACCTCGATCTCCTTCAGGATCTTCTCCTTGCTGGTCAGGCACTCCTTGTACTTCTCTGCCAGCCTAGGGGAGGGAATTTGGTTACAGCAACTAAGCCTGCTAGGGCCCACCTGGGACCCCAGCTCTCCTGACCTGGCAAATGTCACCAGAGGAGCCAGGAGAGCTCAGACACGGTGGCAAACAAAGAGCTGTTATGTCAAGTGGGAGTGGAGGCAGAAAGGAACCACCTAAAGCTGGAAAAGGAAAAGGGGCAGCTCATCCCAACCCCCTGAGCCCCAGGTGTTTAGGGAGAACACCTGAAATCTCCTTCTTGGTGTGGATTGCAACCCCTGGCCCAGCAGGAGACAGGTGTGCTGCCCAGGACAAGCCACCACCATTGGGGTCCCCAAGCACCCTGCTCTGGACCACAGGAACCCTGCCCTGAGGGGTGACAGCCCTGACACTGCAGGGTTGAAAAGCTTCTGCTTCCTAGCACAAGTGTTGGGTCAACACTCCCCCCAGGAGGGCTCCAAAACAAGGTGGTTTTTGAAGTCCAGTTTCCAGACAGCTCTGCTGAGCTCCTCAGTGAGACCCCAGCAGCACCACTCCCCAGGCACCTTCCACAAAGAGTCCAGAGCAAACCTAGAACCCCAAGTGGCTGCAGAGCTCCAAGCACCAACACGACAGCTGTGGATGGACACTAACAAGCCCAGCACCACCAGCAAGTGTCCCCAGCACCACCAGCAGCAGCTTCTGAGGCAACTGCAGAGGCTCCTTCCAGCCCAGCAGTGGTGAGAGGTGACAGTGGTGCTCCCCAAGCATGGGACAAGGGCTGAGGATTTCAAAGCTTCTCAGCACCTCAGCACAGAACCATGGGGCAGGCTCAGGGCAGTTCATCCCTGCCCCCACCCGGTGCACAACTCATAATCATTCAGCTTTTCACGTGGGGCAAGAGTGGGAGGAGCAGCTGAGCTGCCCTCCCGGGCCGAGGGGCCGCAGGGACAAGGGTGACAGTCCCAGCTCAGCGCTGAGCTGGCAGCTCCACACCGTGGTGAGGAGCAGCAGCAGCACCGGGCCGGGCTGCCCTACCCCCGCTGGCATTTAGCTCCTGGGGGGATGGAGGTAAAACCACGATGGCCCCATGAGGAACAGAAAGGAGCTCCGGATGGAAAGGTGTCACCACCCACCCCTCAGCGTCATCCCTAAGAAAGACAGAGCTCCTCTGGTTGGAAAAAAGACCTTGGAGATCATCGAGTGCAACCATTCACCCAACTCTGCTGAGTCCAGACCTACCCCATGTCCCTCAGCACCACATCTACATGGCTCTGAAACACATGGTGGTGACTCCACCACCTCCCTGGGCAGCCTGGGCCAGGGCCTGACAGCCCTTTCAGTGAAGAAGTTTCTCCCAATCTCCAATCTAAACCTCTCTGGCACAACTGGAGCCCATTTCCTCTTGTCCTATCCCTTGTCCAGATGCATCCCTGTGCCTGGCTGTGAGAGCCTCTGAGCAGATGCTGGAGGAACACCAGGATATAAACTGCACCTTCTTCCCTTGATGCTCAAGATCCAGCACCAATGAGAGGACACACAGGCTGTCAGGAGAGCCCTTGCTGCCACCACCCAGACACAGGGTGATCTCCCAGCCCATCCTACAGGACAGGGCTCCTCTCCCATGGGTCTGGGGGCTGCTCTGCTCCCAGGATCTCTTCAGGAAGAAAACTCCCTGAGCCCACCAGCCCTACGTGATGTTCCACACCAAGGGCTCAGCTCCACAATGAATGTCCCTTGTCCTGCACTGAATGTTCAAAGTTCCCTGGCTGTGCAGGCTGCCCCAGCAGCTGTGCAGCTCACAGGGGGCTCTGCCACCCAACCTGAGACACCATGGGACAGGAGGGTGAGGGCACCCTCATCACACTGCTGGGGACATCGAGCTGGGTGCTGTGGTGACAGGCTGGAGGAGAGGGATCCATCCAGAGGGACCAGGGCAGGCTGGAGAGGTGGGCCCCTCCAAACCTCATGAAGTTCAACCAGGCCAAGTGCAAGATCATGCACCTGGGCCAGTGCAATCCCAACCCCAGGCTGGGTGGAGAATGGATGGAGAGCAGCCCTGAGGAGAAGGACTTGGGGGTGCTGGGGGAGGAGAAGCTCAGCAGGAGCCCAGAACCCACCCATGTCCTGGGCTGCATCCCCAGCAGTGAGACCAGTAGGGCCAGGGAGGGAATTGTCCCCTCTATTCTGCTCTGCTGAGACCCCCTGCAGGGCTGGGGCCAGGGCTGGGGTCCTCAGTACAGGAAGGACATGGAGCTGTTGGAGAGAGGCCAGAGGAGGCCACAGAGATGCTGGGAGGGCTGGAGCAGCTCTGGAGCCAGGCTGGGAGAGTTGGGGTGTTCAGCCTGGAGAAGAGAAGGCTCCAGGGAGACCTTAGAGCAGCTTCCAGTGCCTGAAGGGGCTCCAGGAAAGCCGGGGAGGGACTTGGGACAAGGGCAGGGAGGGGGGTGGTGGCTCTAGATGATCTTGAAGGTCCTTTCCCACCCAGCCCCTGCTCTGTGACCACCTCTTGCGCTGCTCCAGCTCCCAGTCCAGGCGGGCCAGGGTCTGCTGGTGGGGCTCAGACAGGGTGATGGCAGGACGGCTGATCTCAGGGGGGGCCTCTCTGTAGAACTCCTCCAGGCTCACCAGCTCAATCTCCTCGTGCTTTGACCTGCAAGGACAGATGGATCAGCTCAAGGAAGGGTGGGAAACACCACAGCATGGCTGAACCCAGAAGAGTGGTCAATCCCAACACCCCCTGCCCTCTCCCTTGCTCCCTGCACAGGCCTCCTCCCACTTATCCCAGGTCAGGAACTCTGGGACACTCCATCTCTCCTGCCTGGTGGCACCTGGAGGACTTGCTCCAGTTGGGCTCAGGCAAGGTGAGAGATCCCAAAGGCTGGAATTCTCCACCCCAGCTCAGACACACTCCATCTCCTCCCTAGCCAAACTCACTTGAACTCCAGGCACTTGGTGATCTCCTTCTGCAGGTGCATCACCTCGTAGAGCAGGTTCTGGAGCTGCAGGTGATAGGCATCCACCTTCTGCTTGGCCTGAAGTAGCAACACAGCAGGAGACGAAGCTCTGTCACCTCCTTCCAGCAAACACACCCCTCCAGAGTCACCAACACACTCCCCCCTCACCATGACAGCTGGGGACAGATTTTGGAGTATGCAACAGTCTGACGGGGTGTAAAATGACATTTTCAAGGGGTTGGAAAGCAAATGCTCACCATGTGAGACTGATTCTGCTCTGGAGGTGGCAGATTTTGGGGACAACAGCAGGGCAGAGCTGCTGGAGAAAAGGGGCTGAGCCCCCTCATGTCCCCATGCCTCAGTTTCCTCACTTACAAGGAACATGGGTGCTGTTCAGGAGCTGTGAAAAGGGGTCAGGGACTTTGGAGCCCATAATATATATATTCCTCAGGCCTGCAGCACACCCAGCTCTCCAGACAGAGCTTCCTGACTCCCTGCTATATATGGCTTTTTCACCATGCATTATAACCTGAGGGCACTGGGGCTGTTCAGCCCAGAGACAAGAAGGCTCCAGGGAGACCTTAGAGCAGCTTCCAGTGCCTGAAGGGGCTCCAGGAAAGCTGGGGAGGGACTTGGGACAAGGGCAGGGAGGGGTGGAATGAGGGGGATGGGTTAAAACTGAAAGAGAGGAGATGGAGTTTGGACATGAGGAGGAAATTCTTTGCTGTGAGGTGGTGAGAGCCTGGCCCAGGTTGCCCAGGGAAGCTGTGGCTGCCCCATCCCTGGGGGTGTTGAAGGGCAGGTTGGATGGGGCTTGGAGCAGCCTGGGCTGGTGGGAGGTGTCCCTGCCCATGCAGGGGGTTGGGACTGGATGATCTTTAAGGTCCCTTCCCACCCAAAACAGTCTGAGATTCCATGTTTTCCCTTCCACAACCTGTTGTTCAACTCCTCTCAGGAAGGGGGCTCTGACCCCACCAAACCCTGTCTTGCCTTCATGTGGTCCCTCCCTGCCCGGCCCTGCTGTACCTCGT